GGCAACCCTACTTGGGTGGAGTCAATGCACTGAGACCCATTCATGCTGTACATGTTACTCTGTATACTCTTGTATATGCAGGGCTATCTTCTTTGTTCATTCTATATGACTGGAAAGCCACAGAGAAGCTTAGTAGCTAGATTCGATGTCATTAAACTCCAGACTATTTTTATATGTTGGGCCAATGAATACTGTTTTTTGAAGCTACTGTGAGCTGCTGTTGACAGCAGAAGAGGAAAGGCTATAAGTATTTTAATTAATATCTGGTATAGAATTATGTTTCCGTCATTGTATCCAAATGTTTTAGCTGAGATCTTATGCAGAAGATCAAAAATGGGCAGAATAGATTATTGGAAGTTTGGGCCTACTTCTTTCCTTGAAAGTGCTGGGCATAGTTTCCGGGGGAGAGGAAGCCCAAATCTTTCTGCTCCGTTCCCTTCTACCAGCCTTTGATGCTGCCACTGGCTACTCTAATGTTCCCTTTTACTTGAACGTCAGGATTAGGACACTCACTCAGTTTCCTGCTCCCAGGTTCATACAGCAGAGATGGGTGTGCTCAGAACAACATTCATGTATTAACAAGGAGAACTGCAGGCTGTGGAAGGTCAGTAGTTCAGCAGTTCAAGACCCGAGTTGCCACATGACGAAGTGAGCTCGCGTCTCTGGTTCCAGCTCCTGCCAACCTAGCAGTTCGAAAGCAAGAAATTGCAAGTAGATAAATATACACTTCGGTGGGAAGGAAACAGCGTTCCGTGCGCCTTGGTGTTTAGTCATGCCGGCCACATGACCATGGAAACATCTTCGGACAGCGCTAGCTCTTCGGCTTTGAAACGGAGATGAGCACCGCAACCCTAGAGTCGGACTCGACTGGCTTTCGAGCAAGGGAACCTTTACCTTTACAGGGATAGCAGCAACTGGTTTCAGAATAAGGGAGCTCCTGTAGTTTCCCACTATTAATAGGCACTCTCTAATGGAGATTTCTACTTATCAACATGAAGTTAAGGCTCCATCTTAGATCTGGAGTGACTCCCAATTTTAGATGGCTCCATCAGTGCTTTTGATCTGGCCTTCTGCAGCTGTAGCCTTTAATTGGGTCTCTTATTCTTTATCTTAAGCACCCAAATCAAGGTGTATGTGCCCGTCTAATCTGGATGTGAATTCAATAGGATTTACAATATAAATCCTGAATTTCCTCACCAACAATAACAATTTGCATCCTGTCCAAAACTGCAGCTACCTGAAGTGGTCATTCACTTCTGTGCTCAAGACACCCCTGCATAGTTTGATATTTAATTAGAGCTGTGAGGAGAGTTCAGATTTCCATGTTGGCATTTGCATGTTTGATGAGGAAGAGTCTTTCAAAAGCAAAGGAAATGGCTTGAAAATTAAAAGTGTAGCTCAGTTTTTCCTTCCAAGTTCTGGATATTAACTGCACCTCAAACCAAGATACATGGTAGCTGGACAACTCCAAGCTTTCCTGGACAAGGCAGATTATTTAGACCCCTTCCAGCCTGGGTTTTAGGCCTGATTATGGGACCGACAGTCTTGGTTGCCCTAATGGATGACTTGCTCCAGGAGACGGAAGAGGGAGTGTGACTTTGTTGATTCTCCTGGACCTCTCAGTGGCTTTCAGTACCATCGATCATGGTACCACCTATCTGGACTGGGATTTTATTAACCTGCTCAGGGCAGGTTACAACATTTCAATAAATACAATAAAATGTAAAACACATTATAAACATACAAAATCAATAATCACAGCTTGCCATAGGGAGAAACCAGCCCATTGATGTAGGTAGGTATGGCCGGTTATCAGTGGGTGGGAGACAGCAACCCCGTGGGGGCCAAGTGTGGACGCCCGCTGACTCAGCCAAAGGCCTGGTGGAACAGCTCCATCTTGCAGGCCCTGCAGAGTTGAATGAGATCCCGCAGGGCCCTGGTCTCAATAGGGAGCATGTTCCACCAGGTGGGGGCCAGGGCAGAAAAAGCCCTGGCCCTGGTAGAGCCTAGGCAGACGTCCTTTGGGCCAGGGATCACCAGGAGATGTTGACTCTCAGAGCGTAACACTCGTCGAGGCATATATGGGAAGAGGCGGTCCCTTAGGTATGTTGGTCCCAGGCCGTATAAGGCTTTGAAGGTGATTACCAACACCTTGAATCGGATCTGGTACTCATCCGGCAACCAATGCAGCTGACAAAGCACATGCCAAACATGAGCCCGCACAGGTGTCAACGTAAGCAGGTGCACTGCCGCATTTTGTACCAGCTGTAATTTCTGGATCAGCTTCAGGGGTAAGCCTGTGTAGAGTGAGTTGTAGTAATCAAGCCTGGAAGTGACCATTGCATGGGTCACCGTAACTAAGTCCTGAGGGGAGAGATAGGGCTTCAGTAGCCTGATCTGCCTGAGAGAAGAATGTGTAGATCTCGACTGCAGCAACCTGGGCCTCCATAGATAAGGAGGCATCTAATGTTACTCCCAGGCTCTTCACTGACTGGGCCAGCACCAAAAGTGCCCCTTCCAGTATAGGAAGCCAGGGCTTTTTTTGTAGAAAAAGCCCAGCAGGAACTCATTAGCATAATAGGCCATACCCAACAGCAGAAACTCAATCACATATTAGGCCACACCCATAACGGCACAGCTCATTAGCATATTAGGCCACACCCATGTTGCCAGAAGTGTGGTCATCCAGCCACGCCCACCTTTTGCTTCTTATTCTGTTTACTTTGTTGTCAAAACCCTGAGCTTTTTTTGTAGCAGGAACGTCTTTGCATGTTAGACCACACACCCCTAATGTAGCCAATCCTAATGAGTTTCTGCTGTTAGGTGTGGCCTATTATGCTAATGAGTTCGTGCTGGGCGTGGCCAACTCAGGAGCCAGCCAGAACTCCGTTCCTGTGCGTTCCTGCCCCAAAATAGCCCTGGGAAGCCTGGTGCCCACATCCATACCCCCATGA